GCGGCCTTCACACTTATCTCTCCTAAAACATTCTCTCTCATATTCACACAAACAAAACATGTACAGAATTGCAGCATGGAACAAAGTATCACTTTAACAAAGTTACAAAGTCTTTCAACATTAAACTTCTCTCTATCTACTACAAGCTTTATCTAATACTGGAGAGGTAGCCTAATACTGACATCACTATGCATTACAATATTCCATCCCTTCACTTCAATATGCTAACATCAAACAGAGCTGGAGCTAAGTTAACAAAGCTTTTTGGTCAAACTTTTTGCTATAGCATAAATTCATTATAACTAACTGACTTCTTAGTTATAAAATTCCAGGGCTACAGGAGTTTCACCTCATGAGCTTCCCAGAGACGTTTCATGGCCTCTGGCAGGAAATAAGTCCCTGAATCTATGAGGATCTCTGAGGGCCAACCTACCCTGGAAAAGTTAGTGCCTGGCACACTCTCCTGGCAGTAGTGCTTCCTAGAGTCACTGCTTCTGGCCATCGAGTGGCAAAATCCACAGAAGTCAGGATGAACTGTTGCCCTCTGGAAGTCTTTTTAGGACCTATAATAGCCACAGCTACATGCTGGAATGAGACTTTTGTCATGGGGAGGGGCTGGAGAGGTGCCTTGAATTGGTCTTGGGGCTTCCCCACCTGCTGGCACACCTCACAAGTTTGGACAAAACTAGCCACTTCGTTTGCCCATTCCCTCCCAGTAGACTGACCTTCCCAACTGGTCTTTGATTCTATTCACCCCAGCATGGCCACTAGAGTGATCATGGGCTAAGCACAAGAGCATTTCCGAGTACTTAGTTGGAAGTACCAACTCTCGCTGGGGTCGGGAAGGAATTTTCCTCCAGGGTAGATTGGCAGAGACCCTGGAGGTTTTTCACCTTCCTCTGTAGCATGGGGCACAGATCACAGCTGGAGGATTCCCTGCATTTTGGGGCCTTCAAAGTATTTGAAGACTTCAATATCTGAGACATAGATGAGAGGATTATTCTAAGAGGGGTGGGTGAGATTCTGTGGCCTGCACTGTGCAGGGGGTCAGACTAGATGATCATAATGGTCCCTTCTGACCTTGAAGTCTATGAGTCTATGCCAGTCGTCCTTGTGCCCACCAGAAAGACACTCTCGGTATAAAAGTCCTCTTTCTACCACAAACCTGGACCTCTTAGAAGACCTGAAAGGCAGTGGGTTGCTTCTGGCTGCCATTCAAACTCCCTTAAGGCTCTCGTCTGCTTCCTGTTCTGCCAGGGTGCTGTTGGGACAGTTGGCATTTACAAGCCCCAGTTCATAAAATTGAAAAATTGCGTGTCTGACATAGCACTGGAAGGAGACGGGCTGCTGGAGGATGGGGTGGAGGGACGAAAGGACATCTGTGGCCTCCCTGGAGGTGGATAGGGACCATGCCTGCGAGATGGATTCTTGAATGGCCACCTGTTGTGGGATGCCATCTCTGCAAAAGAGTTCTTGAGCAAGAAGCTGCCAGTGTAGATGTAGCCTAACAGTAGAGAAATTTGATAGCTCGCCTTTTTACATTAAAGCCAGGCACTTGTGATGTCTGCTCTTCAGCATGCTATCAAAGATTCCTTCATTATAAACTTTGATTTGAACATATTTGCCAAGGCTGTGGAAGATTAATCACCTGAGAAGCTGTGCTGGTGCTCAGCTTAGAGGGAACACTGCTTCCTCACTCTTCACTTTTTGCGTTTTAGAATGAAGTTCAGGGCAGGAATTAGTTCTGACTTTCACACAGAACTGAACTAATATAAATTCTTACCAATGATAAACATGGGTAAGCTGCAGTCTCCTTTAGGTTCTCCACGGACTGGAAGTGAATGTTATCCATTTTCCAATGGGAAATATTACATCTGAAATGCTGACTTGGCCTACAAAGAGCAGTTAAATGTTACAGCTCAGCCCCCTGGATTCCAAGCCCTGCTCACATCTAAGTCTCAAACTGCAAAGACAGTATCTTTCCATGCCATTTTTGCTACACCAAACTATGCAGGTTGTTAATCTTCACACATTAAGGGATTTCCTTTGCGATTTTACAATTTAACCATTGGTTTGAAATTGGTATTTGTCTGCAATATAGTTCTGACTGAAATGATACCCTACCCTGTCCACATCCTACTGCAGTTGGAGATCTTCAGCATCTATTTTTTGTTTCAAAAGAATCTGCAATTCCAGGCCAGAGACAATGGTGACATGAAAACCTTTCAGTTGTTTGTTGTGTAATTACTTGCTTGAAAAAAAAATCAGTAATGGCATAAACTTTTAAAAATGAAAGCTATCTGGATAGGAAGAGACTTCTGTACAGCCAGCAAGTTTTAAATCTTTTGTTTTAACTGAACAGTCATTTCAGTACAAAGGAGTCATTCAATATTACATCTGGTGCTGTTGGTCCTAAGATAAAGGCCAGTGAGTTAATTTCCCCAACAGAAGCTGGTCCAATTTGGGATTTGGACCAGCTGCTGTTGGAGAGACTCTTAGGGCTCTTCAGAATAGCTTTTCTCTTTCTCCAACAGAAGTCTGACCAACATGATGGGTCACCCACCTACTCATTTAAAAGTTAAGACCATGTCAACTGAACAGGGAACTCAGACCAACTGAAAACAAGCTATGTGTCTCCACTGAATTATATTAGAGGAATGTTTCACTAATGCTTCTTAAAGGTAAAGGCTGTTTCCTCCAAAGCTCAGGTCAGCTACAGGCAGTGTTTTAAGGCAGCAATTTTGTTTAAAAAAAACTAAGCACAAAAATCAGCTATGTTCAGTTAGACCGAAACTTTATTTGCACTACTTCAGTATATAAAGGGTGTTTTCTATTATGATCAGTAGGTTTCTATTATGCAAGTTATTTGAAATACAAAGAGTGTAATATCAACATTTTAACATTTATGCATCTCAACAGTATGCATCTCATACTTAAGTGTGTCTGCTCATTTTTACACATTTGGTAGTGCTCACAAAAACAGTGGCTAATTCTCAGACTCATTTGGATGTTTCATGATACTCTTCTATTGCAAGCCACCAAGCTTGTAATATGGACACCTACAACACAAAAGGACAAATAAGTTCCACTGCAATATGAAATCCTATCCAACCAATTCAGTAGTGTACAAGATGTCTTCAGAAAACCTTTGCTCACCACTAGTCAATCTGCCGGTAATTCCAGCTATTTTTGGTGAGTTTCATCATCTCATATCTTGTACTGAGCGATAACAACTATTTCTCATCAAATACAACAAGAGGGGTCTGGCAAGAAGAACAGGTATATTGTAGAACCGCAATGGGAAACCTAGACTAGCGAGTGAGCCTCAAGACTGTCTGTCCCTCAGCTTGGAGGCATGGCCTCCTTCCCCAGCTGTGACTGCTACAGCTACCATGGACAAGGGCTTGTCACCTGGTCCCAAGTGGCTGCTGTGAGAGGGCTGGGGTTGGTTGCCCTCTCTCTGGGGCAGCCTGCATACTGAACTCCTCTTCACCAGCCCCACCCAATGAACAAAACATTCCAGTTAAGGACCCAAGCAATGCTGGGTAAATCTTCTAGTTTTTGTTAAGATTCCAGGATTGCCAATAAAACCTAAATTCATAGCCTTTTTGGCTTTTACACTTTATGAATTATACCCACACAGCCACAGGGGTGTTCATCTAGAAGATCGAATGCCTCCATTATTGGTCACTTTCTGTTCACTGAAAGTTTTACTGAGCACAAATTACTTGTACAGATAGCATCAAGCACATCAGCTGTTAACTCTGTTACCCTTTAAAATAGCACTAGCACCTAGAACTGCACCAGTGTGTTTTTAAGAAAAGGTGGTATATGTCACTCTGCGTCTGAAAAAAATCAGTTATGCCCCAGAAAATCTGAATTGAACAGAAAAGTAGCTAACGATCTCTCATTCATGAGTTTATAGCTCAACATAAACAATATGTGTGTTCAAACTCACCCCAAAATTTTTTAGAGCGGTACTTTCCATACTGCAGGAAAGTCATTCCACTTCCATATTTTCAGGGGGAGGGAGGCGGAAAGAAGCTGTAAACACACAAGTTTTGAAATCAATTTTAAAGTGATAAAGGACTGCCTACAGAGAGTTGCTAGTGATGTCTAGGCACATTGGTTCTGCGAACTTCGGGGGGGGAAGGGAGTATTTTTTTTTCTTTTTCCTCCTGAAATGAGAAAATTAAGAGTTCACTGGGGAATGGGGAGGAGGACAAGGGAAGCGGAATAGTTGCAAAATTACCAGGATGGAAACTTATGGGGGATGTGATTAAGAGTTGTCTGGCCTCTTATTTTCTGAATGCTTAGTGTTTACACATGTATATCTTTAACAGTACAAGTGTTTGAAACTGAGTATTTCTTTCATTATGGTAGCACCACATTCTAGCAGGAAAGGAAAAAAAGCACCACTAGACAAGTGATTTGGAATCACAACAGATGGAAGAGGCAATGTTTTCTGCCTAGATTCCTGGATGACTATGCTACCAGTCCACTGCTGACATGTTTGTGAATTGCACTGCTGAATTATACTAGAAACGATTCTTACATAAACAGAACCCATACATGTTAAGCTAGTGAAATGTGACTGGCACCTTACATACTTTAAGCTATGGGTAAATGCAAGGAGACAGAGAGCTGGAGAAGTCTGCCTTCTCCTGTCATGCAGGCATGACCTTGGTATAGGATTCCGATCAGGTATAGTGGAGACATGGCAATTCATCAACACTTACCAAGAAAGCCGCTTTTCACTCATATCGACATCTCACTCCTCTGAAATACTGAAGTCAAGACTCTGCTTAGCAAATGGAAACAAGAGAACAGAAGTGACGATTACATGATGCCCTGAGAAGGTGGAGGGTGGAGTGACAACAGCAAGCACAGAATAGCCAGTCTTCAGATAAACTGCATGCTAGATTGTCTTTTGCCTCCTAGTACCAAATTCTAGCATACAGAGCTCCAGACAACCTGAATTCAATATACATATAGCTGTATTTCAGACAAGTTGAGAAAGTTATCGTCAGTTCTCGCATCAGACGGCACTTCCTATTCAAAAGGTATCATCATGTCAACAGCTTTCTGCATTTGTTTGTACAGATAAACACCACCACAAGCTCAACACTAGGTAGGTAATACTGTAGTCAATTAACCGATAAGCAAAAGCTTATCGGTCAACGCTACACACATTTCCTCCTCCCCACCCCACCCCGGGCGCGCACTAGTAAATTATGCAAGCAGGCTGGTCAGCAGCCCAGCTCAGTCCTGGCTTGTGCCGGATCTGGGACCTAACCCACAGCAGTGTTGCATTTAAAGTGTATTAGGAGCCAAGTGGGCAGGCACAGCCTGCTCTGGCAGCTCGAACCTGCCCCCAGACAGGGGCTGCTGTCAACCTGCTCTGCTGCCCCCTGCCACTCTGCTGTTTTTTTAAACTAGCTCCCCTCACAGACCAGCTCCCATCTGGTACCTCACACTGCTGCTGCCTCTAATGCAGCAGCAGCGCAGAGTGGCAGTGGGATCCTTGGGAGTGAGGCCGGCTTCACCCCTTGGGACTATAGACTAGTCAACTAACTGATAAGAAACCATGACCGATAGTTAACATCCCTAGTCAACACTTGCAAATTTTTCTTGAGGTTGCAAGGCACTAAATGTTCAAATCCATGTTACTTAATCAAGTCTAAAGATCAGATTTATACTGGTGTATTCAGCTAAGTTACTGAAATGCTTCAAGAGTTACAACCCTCATGGAACAGCTTCAAAAATCCCAAATAATCTAATCAACTCCTCCTTTTGCATTAAGGCAAGTCCATATGGTGCATCACTATCAAGTACTTACCTAGAGTTCCCCCACCCACCAGGAAGATGAATGGCAAGGCCCCATTTCAACCTTCGTTTGTCAACACAGTAAGTAAAAATCCCAGAAATGGCTAAACGTTTATACACATTAATGCAAGAATAAAGCTTACCATATATACTTCAAGACACCATTCTGCCCTAAAAAGAGGAAATACCAATTATCACATGACAACATTATAGTATTAAAGAATATTTGGTCAATTTATTCTCACCACCACCAAACTGCGGGCAACTCCAGCTGCTTTTTGTGTTGTTTCATCACCTTTGATTTGACCAATTCTATAGGAATATAGGTCTAGATAAGCCGGGGGACTGTCCAGGTCCCTTACGCTTCTATGGACATTAAGATGCTAATTTCAAAATGAGCTTTAAGGCTCAAGTTATCCGCAAGAAACTTGCCCAGTCAACAGTCACTGCTTCTAACGTTCAGCAGCGCCTGTTACAACTGGCTCGACAGTCCCTGTGCCTCAGTCTGTGAAGTTAACAGCACGAGAGAATCCAGCACTAGACCCCGCTCCAGAGCAGCGCTGGAGAAGCTCGGTGCTGCACTGACAGGGCACAAGGAAGAGCCATCGCAGGGTATTTGCATCTACAGCACAGACACGCGGCTCTGGAGCAAACTGCTCAGCCCTGAGCACTAGGAAGCAGCTTAAACCCTGCATCGGCGCTTGTGTCGGGAGCGGCGGAGGAACAGCCCCGCCTCCTCTCTCT